GATTGGGACACCAATCTGTTTACTGGCCAAGATAGATGATCCAGCATGGTTGTGGCATGCCCGTCTTGGTCATGTGAATTTTGATACAATAAAACGACTAGGGACCAGCAAACTAGTCGATGGAGTACCGGCCATTGACCACCCTTCACAGATGTGCGAAGCTTGTTTGGCAGGGAAACACTCACGACAAAGTTTTCCTGGCCAAACAACTTTCAGAGCTGAGAAACCATTAGAACAGGTTTATGCGGACCTGTGTGGTCTCATAACACCTGCTACTCAGTCTGGAAACAGGTATATTCTGCTGATTGTTGATGATCACAGCAGGTTTATGTGGTCTTTCATGCTAAAAACCAAGGGTGAGGAATTTGAACAATTCAAGAAATTCAAGGCTTTTGCTGAAAATCAATTTGGAAGGAAAATTAAGGTCCTTAGGACTGATCGGGGAGGAGAGTTTACTTCCAACGAGTTCAAACAGTTTTGTGAATATGCTGGCATCACAAGACAGTTAACTGCACCCTACACACCACAGCAGAACGGTGTCGTTGAAAGGAGGAATTGAATGGTGATGAGCACAACAAGGAGCATCCTTAAAGCAATGGATATGCCACAAAGTTTCTGGGCTGAAGCTGTACGTCACTCTGTTTATGTTTTAAATAGGCTGCCCACAAGAATTCTAAAGAATCAGACACCATATGAGGCTCTAAAAGGTCGGAAACCAAATCTGGATCATTTACGGGTGTTCGGGTGTGTTGGATATGTAAAGGTGCCTTCAAATCAAATAGATAAACTTGATGACAGAAGTATTCCCATGGTTTACTTGGGAACAGAACTAGGAACCAAGGCGTATAGAATGTATGATCCTGAAGAGATGAGGCTGGTGATCAGCCGGGATGTAGAGTTTGATGAAGCACGCGAATGGGATTGGGATTTACAGCAAGAATCTAATCAAGAACCCAATCACAAAGGAGAATTTGTGATACACATGAATTCAGTTGAAGATGTTTCAGCAGCCCAAAATCTTGAAGATGAGCCTGCTGAACTTGGCAGCCCACTCAGCCCATTTTTGAACAGCCCACAAAGCAGCAAATCGACCAATGTGGACAGCATAACCCAATCTGATGCTAGTAGTCCTAAAATAACAGTAAAGGGGCGAGGACCTATGTTGCCTCGACTTCAAACAGATACAAATAATCTGTCAGATCCACACATGGCAGAAGAGGAAACATATGATGATACACCACCTCGAGGGTGGAAGGATTTAAGAGAAGTGTATAATCTTCTTCTTACTGAAGGAGAACCAACCAATTTCAGGGAAGCTTCAGGACACAAAGAATGGGAGAAAGCTATGGAAAGTGAAATAGCTTCTATTGAAAGGAATAACACTTGGGAGTTAATGGATCTACCCCCAGGGCATCGACCCATTGGACTAAAATGGGTATACAAAATCAAAAGGGATGCAAAAGGAGAAGTCACACGACATAAAGCCCGGTTAGTCGCCAAAGGCTACATCCAACAACATGGTGTAGACTATGACGAGGTATTTGCACCCGTGGCTAGACTTGAGACCGTTAGACTCATTCTAGCTTTGGCAGCACAAAGAGGGTGGGACGTTCACCACTTAGATGTCAAAACAGCATTTTTGCACGGGGATCTCAAAGAGGAAGTCTTTGTATCACAACCGGAAGGCTTTGTGAAAAAAGGAAAGGAACAAAAGGTATACAAACTGTCAAAGGCTCTTTACGGGTTAAAACAAGCTCCACGAGCTTGGAATACAAAGCTAGATGGAGTTCTAAAGGAGTATGGATTCCAAAAATGTAAACTTGAACAAGCTGTGTACACAAAACGTACACACGAAGGATCACTCTTGGT